GCTAAGAAGTGGTTTGCAGACAATAAGATTGCAGTACTTGAATGGCCCGCCCAGTCCCCCGATCTGAATCCGATCGAAAATTTATGGACAGACGTTAAAAAGGCGGTCGCAGAAAGGCATCCAACTAATGTTTCCGAGCTTTGGGAAATTGTAAAGGCCTCTTGGACCTCGATTCGTCCCGAAAGATGCCAGAAATTGGTGGATTCCATGCCAAGGCGCTGTGCGGCAGTGATAGCCAATAAAGGTGGTGCCACGAAGTACTAATTATAGTTTTTTTTAATTACATTTAACATTAAATTACTTAATATAACCATATTTTATCGTTATATATTATTTTCAAAAGTTCTGAGAGAATTTGCTTGAACGCTCCTATTATTTTGAGAAACCCATATTGGGTGTTGTTCCCTTTTTTATTTTTTTTTTAGTATGTATTTAATGAAGTAACTTTTTTTAGTTTTAATTACTTTAATACAAGTCATATTTGTTAAAAAAAATGAATTTAAGAAATTTAATTCGTATTGACATAGTTTTTTTCACCGATTTTCACATTCGTGATGGTCACTCCTATTATTTTGAAAACAACTGTATGAACTTCATTTTGGACGGAAATCCAATAAAACTCCGCAGCAGGATGTCCTCGCAAAGAAATTATTTTTTATTCATGCATTAAATTGTTTTGACTTTCACCTGATAGAGATCAGCATGTCGTTTTTCGGATTTTCTTTATGATTATTGTACTTTGCAGGGGCGGACGCAGAAAAAAATTTTGGGGGGTCCGGTCGAAAAAATTTTTCGTTTGGGGGGGGTCCGGTCAAAAAAATTTTTAGTTTATATGGTTGAAAGGCCGTGTGCTGTAAGGGAATTTGAAAAAGTCTGCGATTTTGGGGGGTCCGGACCCCCCAAACACCCCCCCTGCGTCCGCCCCTGGTACTTTGGACAACCCCCAACACCGAGTTATCTGTCTTCTTTTTCTTTTTTCCCGGTGCTGCCACATGCTAATCAAATTACAAGATGTGTGTGTACCGAATCTCCTTGGTTACCCTCAGCAGATGAACCATTTCCCAGACAGAATCACCTCAACGTAGTCGAGGGGTGACCCTCGCCTGCAGCACAAATATCAAAAATAATTTGTTTGACAATAAAAGACGATACACATTAAAATTATGTGCAAGATATTTACCTTTTTCTTTTTTTTTTGGTCTACGCTCAAAAAAGCGGAAAAAATTATGACAGTAAAAAGAAATTTTAGATCGCTTAAAACTGACTATGAAATACTCTAAATAAAAAGAAAACAAAATAGCATAATGAGAGGTACAATGCTTACAATATATGTATAATAAAAAAATTACTATCTTATATATGAATTAAGCTTTCCCATTTTGTTTATATGATAAAAGCCTTTTGGTAGTCCCTAAGTGAAGTTTATTTTAAAAGAGTATCTCCACAAAAACGTTAACTCTGACTGGCGATAAAAAAAAAATGCAAAAGCTAAGCAAAGGAAAAATTGTCTCTTTCTCAATACCACCCCATCGTTTTTTTTTTTTGTTAATTCTTGCCTGCGGGGTTACTTTTTTTTAAGAAGGGAATACGATATCTCTAATGATTAGTCCGCTAAACTCACTCGTAAATTTGTCAAATCGCTCAAGTTATGCGAATCGTATTTTTTCTTTATCTGCGGCATTTGCATAGTCGTGCTTTCTTTTTCAAATTTTCTTTACTTTTTATTTGATTATTAAATTAGTTTTTTTTTTCGACTGCCTTCGTTTTTTTTTGTACTTCTTTTGCACTTTGGTCTCATTAAATATTTCTGCGCAATTTTTCCTTGTTATTTTTGCACTTTTGCAGTGGCGAAAACATCAAACAAGCGCGTGAAAAGTTTGGTTAGCAGTGGAAAATATATTGCTAGAAAATTGCTTGGCAGTTTTTTTTATTTCTCTGTTCTTTTTCCTTGACAATTCCATGGTTTTTTTATAATTGTGATTTAAAAAATGTGTTTTTTTTTTGTGCCACAGCTACCGAAGTCTCATTGTTTTTGTTTCCGGTAGGTCTCCCTCTCTCTCACTTCTGTCGCCATTTGCCCTCTCTGTCTGCTGTTTGTTACAACTTTTCAATTGTTTGGCTTCTGTCATTACCTTTGACATGGCAATGGAAGCTTGTGGTTGTTGTTTTTGCCTTTTGACTGTCGCCGCCTTTTGTCTTTCACGCCTTTTGTCCGCGCTTTCCCCATTTCCACCCACTTCATCCCACTTTGCATTCGCACTTTGATCTGCTGCATTTTCTGTATTAATTGTAATGATGAAGTGCAAGCAATGCCAGTCCTTGAAATCGATGGAGGAGTGGGTAGCGAAGACCACTCTGCGTCGGAGACTCTGGGCATGAATTGTAAGTATATATGCGTAATACTTATTTTATAATAATGTATTCAAATTGATTAAAAGTTCTTACAGAAATGTTTTACTAGTACGCATCTTAGGTTACTTTTCTTAACTTTCTTGCAATACATTCTTCAGTATGAAAAAAAACTTATGAATACCAAAATATTAATATCAGCTTTGCAAATGAACCCTCAACACATCCCCACAAATGAGTTATTAAATTTCCCTGCATAATTATTGCATTTTACGGAGGTTAATTTTTTGGGGAAACAGATTTACTTTATATCGAGATAAGGTTAATTTCAAATATTTAAATATATAATTAAAAATGCCTAAAAAATGAAAACAAATTAGTGGAAGGAAGTATGTAAAGTCAATAGTTATTTTTATTTTTTCTACTGATGGTCAACAAATAAGTTATCCATTTTTTCTGAATTTTAAGCCTATTTAATTGTTTGTTAATTAGTTAATATTGTAAGCGCAGAGCGGGAAATAAATGCACTTACAATTATAAAGAAAATATTTCGTTTTCCCTTTGAAGTTTCCCCACTTATAAACAATTGACACACATTCAAAGTTCTTTACAAAAAGTGCAATCTGCTGCATCATAAAAACCAGTTGTAGACTCACTTTCAGTTTAGGTTTGCTGAGTGCACTTTGGAATGCTTCTTCACCTTGACCCAGATTTGCTCACCCAACCCTTTTGCAATAATATAAACAAAAGATGTAAACAAATTCATTCCGATTTGAGGTCCCCTAGTTTTTACATACGTGTTTTTCCCGTTCGGCATATGCAATTCCAAGTGAAACGTGCTCAAAGATGCAACATATGCAGTTTTTGCTCAAAGGGCGACCTTGAGAGGGGGATTAAAGACTTTGCGCTTTAAGCCACCCAGCTAGAGCTGCTACTCCTATTTCCACTTAATAAAGCACACTAATGATGACCACAAATCCAACCCAGAGAACAACCAAATTGCAGTAAATCTGCACTTGAGCACGTTCCTAAATAAAAACCAGCAGAGCTCGCAGGAAAAAACCTTAGCCCCCTTTCATTAGGGCAGAGCAACTCTAATTTATTTTTAATAATCTTGTTTTATACACATTTTCAAGTTCCCTTTGAGTTTTGCAAACATTCTTTACCCTCGGGACAGAAGCGAAAAAATAAAGAAAAAGCAATTGATTTGCTTAGTAAGTTTGTGTACTTTCAATTAAGTTAAAAATGCCTAGAAAGGTACTCAAAAAGCCAAATATCTGAGTATATGCTTATAACGAATGTTTGCAAAACTTTTTTATAAGTGTGTGAATATAGACTGTTTGCTACCGTGTAACCATTTAAAAAAAATTACAATAAAAACTATAAATTAGGTTGTTGAAAAATGTTATACTAATAAATCGCAGTCTTTAAAGTATTGAATTTAAGTAGAAATCTTTTTGATTCTAAACTTAATCTTCCCAGTTGCACTTTTTTATGCCCTATCTTACCCCTTAAATCTGTTGCTTATGTTTAAAAAATCTAAAAACTGTTTGTTTACGGGTCACCTTACCACTCCAACTCCATCCCATTATAAAACCCAGCTGGACGCACGCAAAACACACACATGCACTTGAGGCTTTCACCGCTTTCTCCCGGAGAAAGGGTTGCTGAAGGATGAACGATACGATATCATGTGTGGACGCCAGAGCAAACAAAAGTGCAAATTCCCGGGGGAACATTTGATTGAATTCAGACAGTTAACCGTCCTCATAATGCGCATTTCTGAAACCAAAAAAATGGGAAATCCTTTGGCTTCTGCTTATTTGCCTGGAAGGAAAATATCAAAAAATTTAGAATCATCTTAAGGGGCTGGGGAACAGTTTATTTGGCAAATGGTATTTGTTCTTTGCCAGTTCTCGTCCTGATTGATATTATTATGGATGCGTCCGTCAATTGATTGATGGCTTCGGTGGACGGCGCTTAAAACGAATCTTCTATTTGGATTTTAGAAAATTAAAAAAACAGCTTAGCATCAGCATCCTTTTCCCAGTACTATTTGCCTTATACAAAGCGTATTAAAAATCCAGAGTTAAAAGCCCAGCCCAAAGGCAGATTTTTGAGTTCGTTGGTTGGCGCCACGCGACATTTTTCCGCATCGATTGTATGATTCCGGAAACCCGGGATGAGGAATATCAGGAATTATCCAAAGTCCATTGTGTGACAAACGGCTTTGATCTCTGCCGTCGGTTAGCATTTGATTGGATGAGGGGTAAGAGCTTCTACTCTTTTTAAATTTGCAGAGTGTTATCGGTGATCTGTGGAGTTAAGAATGCCAGGTAAACAACAACTGCCTCGTATGGTATGCTAATGAAAAGATGTTTCTAATCATACAATAGGAAAATATCATATTTCCGTCTAAATGTAAGCATTGTAAAATACATTTTATTCATTACAATCTTTTTTAATTACATATCTTTATTTATTTATATAATCTGAACGATTAACAAAGTATTCACAAAAACGCCTATTTTTTTTATTTGTATTTGCATTGCGAACTGATTTTTCAAAATGAAAAATCAAACGAAATTTAAGAAGAAAATTGTTTCCCACACCCCAAACATTAAAAAACGTATGTTTTTATTTAATAATAATTTTATTTCGTATTGTATGCATACGGTTTTTTACTTAACTTACATTCAATTACTTAAAAGAAAATGCAGTTTGGGTTATTTCAGTAAACATTTCTACTTTGAACTTGTACTATGTTTATGCTCGTGACGCGAAAATGCGTCTCTTCTCTGGATTATTCCGCATTTAGCCACATATTGCTTATAAGTATTTATCTAAAAACTAAGTTGACACACACACAGCTTAAACATTAATGGCAAAGTAAATATAAAAATATATATGATTTGGTATTTATAAAAAAACACGTTTTCATAAATATTCGCTAAGTGTAAGAAGCATTCTACCTAGGAAGTTTAAACTTTTAAAATTTTCCCATAAATAGACACCAAGAGAGTTGTTGTAAAAAAGTCGACTTAACTATTTGTAGATATAGAATATAGAATAGTTTGGCTTATCAACTAAGTTGGTTTCGATTTGAAAACTAGCTGCTGCTTATAAAATTTTGTTTTTTCTTTTCAGAAAATTCTCCAATATGTTTTCCGGTTCATTTTTCGATTTTTCCTTGCACTCGGCCGACCATTTGAGAGAACTTAACTTATTCAGATAAATTATTAAAATTAACTTAAATAAGTTTACTAAGCAAATACTTGGACTGGAAATATTTTTAGCAAAATCATTTATCACATTTGCGCTTATCCAAAGTTTAGTTTATTTTTTACCGACGGCAATCAAGAAACTATCGGCAGGAATAAGTTCCACCAAAGAAAATACTTGTATAAAAATGATTAATTTTTCTGGGTTTTCCTTGGGAAATTGATTCACATTTCTCTGTCACTGTCTCGCTCTTTCTCTCTCGAAAATTTTCGGGGCTGCGCTAGTTCTCACCAACGAAAAGAAATCACAAGTTGCGCTTTTAGGAGCCTTAGTTGGTGTTTTGTTATTTTATTTTTACTGCGCCTGCGGTTGAATTTGAACGGTGGCCTTTAGTTTGCTGGATTTTCCGGCGGCCTTGTGCTGCACGTAAAACTGCTTCAGAACCTTGCACATGGTGATGGCCAGGATTTTCCAGGCCAACAGTTGCTCCTCGGTGCTCGGTGTCGAAACAGGTTCACTTGTTGCTGCTGGTTCGAGAGTTTCCTCGGCTGCAGACGGAGGTCCTTCGAAGTCCACCTGATCGTGTCCAGGATCTATGGAAAATGCCATGGGACCATCCACTTGATCGCCACTTGGTTCCGACTTAGAGGAGTGCTCTTCTTCAAAAAATGGAATTGCCATTTTGGGTCGCTCAAGTTTTACGTAAAAATTTCACTTTACTAAGTGGCTCAGTTTTTCTGGGCTTTTCTGCTTCTGTAGATCTGAACTCTTGGAAAATCGTCGACCGACTGAGGAGCTCAGCTCGCAGGACACCCGTATTTATACCCGGGAAACGGCGGGAGAATTAGCCACCCTCATCCCTTCTCACAGTGAGAGCACTGTAACGCTCTCTTCCTCATCTTCCCTCCCTTTCACTCCCTGATTCTCTATCTCCCTTTGTCTATATCTGTGCCGTTATGTTGAGCTACTTTCATCACGTGCAGTAAACGTTTCCTCAAAGGAAAGCGAGAGAGTGTCAAATTGGGAGAGTCACACTTGTGGCATGTTACGTATACGCATTACGTTTTGTCAATTACGTTACACAGGGGTGTTACGTTTCAAATTCGAAATTTAAGGGGTAGTTCCAAATAATATGGCCTTTGCCTACATTACTTCTTTCGAATTGGGGAAGGGAAGTTTTCGAAATAGAAACCATCAAATTTTGAAGGGGTAATGTTCGAATTAGTTTTATTTTTGACAATTTTTTGACAACAGCAAAACATAAACATTTTCGGCTTACACTACTGCGTTTCATAGTTTCTTATTTGGTGAATTCTTTCATATTTTTATTAGATTTGTAGTAAATTATCGCATTAAGAAAGGGGAAAATTTCGATTTGCCAATTTGACCGATTTTATTGAAATTTTCGATTTCGTTTTTGCCTTCTCCTTAACTTTGTTTCACTGTGGCATAAACGTGTCCTTGACCAATTTTCATGCAATATTCTTTTCTCAATTTTCTTCTATGGCCCCTATAACATATTAGTTCTATGTATAAGGGTATGTTTGTCTAGAAAATAGACTTATAAAAGTTTTAATAAGGAATTTTATATTATAAGCTTTAAATAAATTGTAAGATTCGATTAAAATAAGTAAAATATACCAAAAATAGAAATATATACATATATAACAAATAAATTATAAAATATATATAAATGTTGAAATCCCCTACATGCTATTTCTTAAGTTTTCAAGCAACCAATTCACAAACGTACAACTCCGTAGAGCTAAAAAACAATCGGTTATCATTATACCAACCACATGCCAAGAATTTTTTATGGTGATAGGGAGAGTCTGTTCCTTGCTTCCTTGCTGTGTTTCCCCCTTCACTCTTTGGGAAATCAATTCCACAAATCAACATAATCAACTTCTCGCCGTAAGTCCAAAATATAATGCACTCGCCGTCGAAAACTTCTTTTGTTACCCGCAGAATAAAATGGGAAAGAAGCAGCAGTGGAATAAAAAAGAAAGCAGAAATAAGAGCAGTAAAAAAATGTAAAAACTTTTTTATAGTTGCCGCATAAAAAATGTAAAATAAAATCCGACCAACGAACTTTAAGGGAAAATACACGAAAGAATGCACAACAAAAGGATATTGCTTTCGAGGGCGTCCAGGTGAGTGGTCGGGGTCCAATAATGACATCCACGCGATGATAACCCCGAGAAATCAGAGGAAAAATCCATGATCTAATTTGCTAAACACTCGAGTGAAATCCGAAGGGATGGGCATATCGCTTACATATACCTGCGAAATTCGCAGGGAGGTATTTTCAAAAGCAAAACAAAGAAAGAATTGCTTTCGCTTAAAAGAACATTCAAATGGAAATGTTCTGCTTGGCTCAACACAAACAACAAGTGCAGGCGCACACACAAACTGCATTTATTTAGTTAGCAAACAAAAAAGGGAAAAGAAGCAAAAAATGGGATCCAAAGGAAGAAAGCCATCGCATCGCATCGCATCGAAAGAGTAGCATTTGAGTACCTCCAGACAGACAGACAATGCATATAGGTATACCCCGTGTACGTATAAAAGTGAAGTGCGCCGGGGCATGTGCAGCACACGGACAACAAAACAAGACGGCGGAAAAAATGACAAGGGGCAGCAACCAGAAAAGTGAGTTTCAAGGAGAGAGAAAGGATACCCTTCTTATCCAGGCATGCCTTGGCTGAAATCAAGAAGGCTTGATTCTGCCATTATTTTGAATAAAGAAACAAGAAATAAATCTAATAATAATAAATCCAAATAAGCTTTGCCTAGCAATAGTGATAAATATACAAAATAATAATATTGAGGAGGAGTGCATAAATCTTATTTTATTTTGCCTTGAGAATAAAAAAAGCATATTATTTTTAAAAATTAAATTAATTGTTATGTTTTACTAAACAAAATCTGGCTTAATCTCGAAACTAATCAATTTTTTTATGTATTTTTTGACAGTGTGTACGCTTTCCCCATATAATTTTCAATAACTCTTAACATAATTTCTTAAAATGTATTGGCACCACCTACCTCTAACATTTCTAAATTAATTTCACTACTCCTTTCGAACAGCACTTCCTTCCATTCGATATCAGCACATCGATAATGGCCATTATAGGGTATTTACCTTACAGCTCGGGAACAACAAAAAAAAACGTTGCATAAAACGCAGCGTCGTTCTCGTCGTAGCTGCACTTTGTTGCCTTCTGGCTGTCAGATTGATATTAAATTATATACCTTATTATCATTGCAGTGTTTGCCTTTTTTGTTTGCAATCCATGTCAGGGGGGCGTGACAAGTCGTGTTTATTTACAGCCGGCAACAATTGTTGCTGAAATGCGTTTCACTTTGCCGCACTTTGGAGGATGCACCTCAAGTCAAAGTCAAAGCCAGGACACTTCACATGTGGTTCCCCGTTCCGCATTCATGGGTGGGTTTTGTTTTGTTTTCTTGTGTAAACTGCTATTTTTCAAGGAGCTGCAAGGATACAAGAGCTTTATGCTTGATGGTTGCGCCCAAGTGACATTAAATGGCTGCCACATCTTCGTCTTCCGTCTCGCTCTCTTTATTTGCTACCGTATCTTTCCATCTCATTCTGCCATAAAGTGGCTAAAGTGGCAGCTTAAAGTTCCCCTGCAATTTAAAGCTTTTCCATTCCGATGACGTATAAAATATTTATATTTCCAGCTATTTACGGATTTTTCCTTTATATTGGGCATCAAAATAAATTGAAGTAATTCTAGTTCGATGCGTAAACTAAATGGGATTAAATATTTGATTGTTGTTTGCCGGTCAACTTTATTTGTTTACCTCCCTCGTCAATAGGTTGAATAGAAATTCCAATAAACAACGGAATTGTTTAAAATTGCTTATATTGATGTAATGAATATTGGGACTTACTTATGCATCAATTGCTATAAATAAGCTTAGAAAAAGAGGTGCTGCGTCTCCTAGATAAACTTAGTTTTTACCTAATCAAAACGAATATTGGGGTTAAAAGTATTGTTTTAGAAAATGAAATATTTCGCCAAAGCAATTACCCCACACCCCAAATTCGGTAACTACCAATCTCATCTACGCAGAACTGATGGCTAATCGTCTCCATTGTCTAAGTCAGGCAACCAAAAGTGCCGCACTAATTAACAAATTGATTTATGGAAATGGAAATGACAAGTCTCCAGGGACCAGAGCCCAATCATCGGGGTAGAGCCGAAAACTCTCATATGCAAAATAATTTTTTGCAAAAAACAAGGCTGGAACGACAATGAGGCAGAACCACCCTTGGAGTGGTCGAAAAACTTTGACTCTGCGGTTAAATCTGGGACTCATCCACCGCAGACAGACATTTAATTAAGGTGTCTTCATGGTAACAATCTCTGGCTGAACTCGAGTGGCAAATGAGTCTAATTAATAACGAGGCATTTGCAACATAATTCATTTGGCAGATCAAAATATTTTTCTTCCAAAATTTACCCGTCCAAATTTAGGGAATGGGTAATTATTCATTGGGTACAGTTGGTTATGTGAAAAGTTTTATAAATGTGTTTAACAGAGTAATGCAAATTTTAAGAAGGCTAGGTTACTTAATTAACATTTTGCTTATCATATTAAAAATCTAAGATATTTGTGGATAACCAGAACGTTTTTTACTTATACATATATTAAAACACATTTTAATTACATATAATTTTAATTTAAATGTATTACCCAAAAAATTAGCTCTTAGGTTTTTTAGTTATTGTAGGAAGAAGATATTGGAGTTGAGGTTTTTCGACCACATTTGGTCATAGCTTACTTTAATTATTATTTTTTTTTATTTGCAGATCGTCCTTTTTTCCTGTGTCCAACAATTTTTCTTTGTGGTGTTACCATTTTGATGACTTAAGCCGGGCGTCTGACTTGAATTTATTGCCAGGGTGATATGTTCATAGGTCTTGGGAAATTTATGCAAATTGTTTGGCACTTTCCGCCATCCACACCCCTTGAGCACAACAATTAATTTCCCAGTTCAATCATATAAACCAAAAACCTCCCGAAAAGGTATTTATTTTAGGTCGGTTTCTTTATAATCGAATTTTAAGGATAAACATTGTCCTGGAAACTAAAGTAAATAAACATTCCGGACCATTCAAGACATCAAAAGCGTGTTTAATTTATGGTTCGTTAGGTCAGCCATTTGCTGTCAGCAAGTGGAAAGGCTTTTGTCTGGTTTTTGGCCCTCAGTCCAAGCCGTATGCAAATCAAATGGAGTATTCATCTTCGTCAGTTCTTGGACCTTTTTGTGGGTCCTTTGAGGTGTTGGCTTAAACGCTAAATGGAAATTATACAAAAGGACACTCTGAAACACTCCCAGTTCCACCCCTCCGATGGGTCAAGAATAATTCCTGTTGGGATTCCCTCCCCCGCCTCGGAAAAGTGTGGGAAAACGGTCACGATGCATGTGAGCCGAGCAGGGAAATTTATGTGTGTCCAGTTTGGCCATAAAAAAGGGACAACAAACTTTGCTCAACTTCCTTCGTGGGGCGATCCAGGCCAATACAAAAGAAACATGCGGAACGATTCTGCAAGGATCTTTGTGCGGTCAGTTCAAGTAAGCATAAAAGGCGACAAAGTGCCACTTTGGTGCTCTAAACTTTCTTCCCACTTGTTTCTTTTTAATGATTCAATGCATTCAATTGCCGAGTATTTCTTTTTTATTTTAAACTCCCAATTTTGAGGGTTGTTGGGCCAAGAAATGTCTGTCGGGCATATCAAAAAACCGATTCGGTTGTTATTAAATGTTTTAC